CACTTACAAGGGCGAGAAGCTCAAGGTCCCTCTGCTCGAGGACGTCTTCCACACCTTCTGCAGACCAGAGTGCCCCCTCCGCCTGGCATTCAACGTCGAGATCAAGGGCAGCAAGCCACAGGCGACCACAGAGGTGCTCAAACTCGCCGAGAAATACGGAGGCCGCGAGTGCGTCCGAAAGATCTCGTCCTTCTCATGGCTGCCGCCCGACAACGCACAAACGCTCTGCAACGACCAGAAATGGAAATCCAAAACTGGTAGGGACGACAATGAATGCAGTACTTATTGCAGACAAAGACAGACACTAGCAGCGGTGTGTCTCGTTGGGCTGTATGTGTCTCTCTCTTTGTGTGTGTCTCTCTCTCTTAGAGCTGACCCAGGCCGAAGTGGAGCAGTGCCCCAACGGGTTCGTGCCCGCGGACCTGCTGGCCAACGCCAAGAACGGCATGGGGATCGAAGTGGCCGTGCTGTTCAACAACGTCAACTCGCTGCTCCCCAGCAGTGGCCGCATGCTGACGATCATCAACCACTTCTCGGCCAACTGGGCCCACATCTACTACCCGGCACAGGACGAACACTGGGACCGCACCGTCGCCCTCCACAAGGCCAACAAAAAGGCATGCACAACAAAATAGGCGCCCCCACATGCAGGTCTCCGTCGGCTTGTGGGTGTTGTCTTGATGCTCATGTCAGGTTCTGACGTGGTACGGCGGCCACGCTGAGGACCCCCTTGAGACGTTTGAGGAGCAGGCTGCCCACGGTGTGGACGCGGTGTGCTGCAACCAAATCGAGGACGCCATCCTCGAGTTCTGCCACTTGGCCTCCCATGGCCAGCAGCAGCAGCATGAGATGATGATCCCCGTGCCCGTCTCCGAGCATGCCCACGGTATGCCATTTGGCATGGCACGTTTTGGAATTGGTGTTCCTGTCATGGCACCTCCGTGAAGTACAGACGATACTGATCAAATGAGCTGACTGACAGACACACAAGGGGTGGATGGTGGACGGGCGAATGGATGACCCGTCGCTCTCTGTCAGCAGAATGAGTGAACGAACAGATGGATGGATGGATGGATGTCTGATGTGAACGCTCCCTTTTTAGTTCGCTCAGCGGCAAGCAGTGCAGTGCGTGGATGGATGGATGGCCGAGAGATCGATGAATGGCCGGATGGATGGATGGATGGACGAACGAGCAGCGTCTGGTGTTGTGTGTGTGTTTTTTTCATATGGTGGGTGGATGGATGTTGAGTGGAGTGGATGTGACTGACGGCTGCACGGCACGCCATGGGGTCTGTGGGAGAAAGGGGGAGAGAGAGGGAGAAAGAAAGGGACAATGCATAGGGATCGTTCAAGGAAGTCACAAGAGGCGTCCGTCCGTTCCATTCCATTCCATCCATTCATCCATCCATCCATCCACTTATCCACACCAGGGACAAATCCAGCCAAACGATTGCATTCGCAGCCAGCCAGCCAGTCAGCAGACAGCCAGACATCCACACAGCTAACCACTCGCTACGCAGAGCTATGGGTGTCTGGATGGATGGATGGAGGATGGATGGATGGATGGATGGACACACACACAGACAGACATGAACCAAGTCAGTCGGGCTATCTACACTCTCTACAGCCTATAGACAGACACAACTTCGGTCTTTGGGTGGCTGGCGAGGCTCTAAGTGGAGTGGCATGGGTGGGGTGCACCATACACACATGCCTTCCATGCGATTCCCAGCCACTCGCAGATTGCTACCTATGGGTCGCAGCCCTCCGTGCCCGTGAGGGACGGGTCGTACAGACCAGCCACCCTGCAACACACACACACACACACACAGAGAGAGAGAGAGAGAGAGACTCCTCTCCGGCATATACGGTGGCTGAAGCTCCTCTCCACCTTCCTTCCCTCC